AGGTGTCAGTATAAAATAGGTCAATATGATGACGTAACTTTTATTACACCACTTACAGTTTTAAGTGTTCATTAGCTATAACCAGGCTAATACTCGTCTTTAAACTGCATTTAAAGTTATTAATTCACAATAAAGACACTGTCTTTCAGTAACATACAACAATGTACATCTCAGCTACAGACAAATAACTGTTTTAAAACGAAACGAGCTACAGCGCAAGCTGCACATAAAGAGTTCAAGGCGTCTTTCGCTATTTTGAAAGTGCAGTAAACAGTAACCAGAGTAAAACATGTAATACAAAATATCTTTATTCTATCTATAGTTATTGAAGCCTTTTAAAAGTCCGTTATGTTCCTCTGTAAACCTTTCGGAAAATCGTTGCTTGGTATACAGCGACTGGGCTCTATATCAACTTGCTACGACCAGTTGCAGAAATACTGAGACACTCCCAAGAAAAAACGACCTTTCTTGCTTCAAATCGCTCCTGGTCACAGGTATGTGAGATATAATACTGACCTCCTCTCCAAGTTTAAAGCATAGTCTTGTATTGCTAGCAACTTTGATAAAGGGGGGAGGGGTGATCACAAACACAAGATCATGGACAGGGCCATTTATGCCAAAATACGGTGTAGTGTCTCAAGTACTTTTGCAATTGGTTGTCTCATTTAAGGTATACTTCAAAGAGCGATTTCCACGTCTTAAATTCCCAAAGCGAAGACTATAGCGACTTTAGAATGACACTTTCTGTTGTTTTTCCCGGCCGATATATCATTGTCATTTATAGCAAACTGCCTAAAAAAGCGCTTAAGAATGTAGTGACTTTTAAATTTGGCCTTAGTTTTGTTGTAACGCACGCGCCATTATCTACCGTGACATGGCTTAAAGTTTCGGCGTTGTCATTGAACTCTGAGAAGTGGGAATGCAAAATCACAGCATAAATTTTCCTTTTCTCAGTATTTAGAGATATTATACTTGTACTTGCAAATAAAACTGCCAAACATTCATTTTCATCCCTGTATCTGTAACGCAATGACATTTGATACGCAATGGCGTTATCGCTATTTTAAGTAAAACCGTTCAGTTGTTTCTTTTTTTATATATCGATATATACTACGGTGAAAATAAGATGGTTATTAAAGTCCTTTAGAGCTAGAGAGCAGAAAAAGTTGTATGCTACGTTAGTTTCTATTTTCTGACGGTCTACCATCAATCCATGGTCTACCATTCTGCAAAAGTTAGCCTGAAATTCATCCGATTGCTTCGAGTCGTTTCTCCTCTCAACAACGTATGAATCGACCGGCCGTTTTACGGCAGGTCACTGCAGTGAGTGATGGGCTTTTGGCCCATCACTAAAACTAACCAACTAACAGATTTGTAAGCGTATTAATTGTATAATTATGAAAAAATTTGGCGGGATTGTCCCTTGATATTCAGCGGATCGCATCCCTGGCGTTCTTTCGTTTAGTTCAAACATTTCGATAATAGGTTTAATCTTTATCTTAAACAGCAAAATTGCCCTTGTCTTCGAAACTGACATGCTAAATTGAACTGCGAATGAAGAATCATTGCGGAGAGTCCGTAGGTTTTTCATTTAGAGCTGCTTTGTGGTTTCGAATTCGGCGGCCGGTGATTTTGTTTACGCGAAGTTTTCTGAGATCAATGTTATAACTCGACCTTCTTGCTATTTTTACCGTCAAGTGTAATGATTCTGTTAGCTTTTCTTTCTTGTCTCCTCGATTTTTTATTCGTTAAGGACCAAATAGCTTCTTTTGAATTAAAGCAAATCATTGTGTTTTTGAACTAAGTGTTCCGTGTGTGTGTTTATTTCATTGCGTGATCAGCGACCGAGTTTGATTATAGAATTTAGTACAGCTGGTTTAGATTTTTACTGCATGCAGTTGATAGTTTGAAAGTTAAACGTGAATTACAATCGAAAAAAATAAAGCAGTTCTGTATCATGCAGACATTTCCAAACGATATTTTCTCGGTTTGCCACTTGAAAATGTTGTTTTACTTTTTGCATGAATTAAAGCAACGGTCGAGGAGTAGTGACGTCACTGGATGGCATTGACGGCCTGTCGATTCAGACGTTACTGAGGGAGTAATAACGACTCGAAGTAATCGGATGAAATTCAGGCTATGCAAAAGTAGGAAATATAATATATTATTATATTTATCTCATATGATGGCAGACCGTGTAGACTGTTGAAGCAAGTAAATTCCTGACATTGTCGTGCTGGAAAATTACCATTAGGGAACTTAAGATGGAGACGTTTTCGGCGCGACGGCAACTTCAACCGGACGTGACGTCATGATTTGTGCAATATTGAGTATGCTCTTGCTCACCACATTGCCGTCAGGCTCCCGTCGGCGACGTGAAACTGGTCGGTTTGGCGTTGTGGCGAGAACGTGAGTATTTAACTTTCATTTCAATCAGGTTTGTTGCGTTTAGCAACCAGAATGTTCCAGATTATCGTTCTTTAAAAGGTCCTTGTTTTCTTTGAGTCACATTTCAAGCTCGATCTGCACTGGATCTACAAGCTCTGTTATCTAAACTTACACCTTTATAATGTTTCTATGTTTCATGACACAGAGTCAAGATCCAATCTGATCCAATATGCAAACAGCAAACCGTAAGTGAGGTTTACATGGACAAAATTGTCCTACGAGCCAAATGAAAGTGTCCAAAAAAAAAAGTATAAACTCCGATATTTTAGTTGTGTGCTTTTAGCTCAGTTTTCTGGTTAGAGTATGGTATAAATAAAACGTATGTATTGAAAATTGTTTAGAATAGAAGGTAATATCACGTACTAAAGTGGGATTACTGAAATAAAGTTGTTGTTGTTGCTGTTATTGTTGTTGCATGCAAGCAAATAAGCAGTAATTCTCCTCATTCGTTATGCGTAACCATATTTTCCTCTTCGGTAGTCTTCCAAGGCACCGTCCCCCTGAGTTCACTGCGATCTTAATGTTCGAATTTTGGAGGGAAGCGACGGCAACCTCTGTTCCAGGCTTGCTCTACCAGTCTGGTCGCGGTCGCCCCGAAAACGTCTCCATCTTAAGTTCCCTATTCTTGGGAACAGTGACTTCCTTTTTGCAAAGAAATGAATTTCGTTACAAAGTACAGATAACAAAGCCACGTTATATGTGAGCTCTTACGACTGTGTTACCGAAATACGCGCGTGAGTTTTCACGTTATCTGATGACTAGCCACACTCGCGCTTCAAAATCGAAACAAAGTTATAAGACGACCAAAAAGTAAGCACAAATCCGAACTTGTGTTAAGTAAAGTAAAGTCGAAAACAGTTGCTTTTTAGCGTAACTTTTCTTTCCTGTAAATAGCAGGCGATAAAAGAGGAACCATGTCCACCTACTTATCAGAAACAACAACAAAAAGCTATCTCCTTCATCTAGCGGGGCATCTCAGGTCACTCAATTTCCTTTCATAAATAAACGTCGAAGGAAATATATTATTTTTCGCATCTTTGTAGTGTTTTGGGACCAAAAACCCCTTTCGTTGCAGCTTACTTAAGATGGTATGGCATCTTTTGCCACGTGCTTCCTATAAAAGTCTAATTTATTGCATATTACCACATAAACAAAAGGGCCAAGTTTACATGAATTTATTCTCTGGGGCCGAGATTTAGTGTCCGTTGGCCGTATTAGAGAGATTCCGTATTAACAGAAGTTTTTTTTGTTTTGTTTTTTTGTGTTTTTGTTTTTGTTCGTATGTTTGTTTTTAATAAAATGTATGAGACTTTTGTCAGGATATTGGAAGTTGTCCGTAATAGAGAGGTGTCCGTACCGAGAGGTTCGATCGCATCATGAAAGTGTTTCTTTTAAATAAGCGACGTTAACGTACTTGATTTGAAACTGTGTCGTGTTCTAACAAAGTCTATGCAAGGAATGTTTAAGACCAGTCGAGAAATCATTATATAAATCTTGCTCGATACAAGACAAGTTTATCAACTACGGGCAAGGAAACGGCAACCGTACCGTCAAATAAAATGCTCAATTCAAGAATAAAACTATGTGGGGTAAGATTAGAAGGAGAAAATGTTTAATTTAAGTTGCCAAGCAAAGACATTTACGTTAAACAACGAGGCAGCAAATGTATCCCTTCACCAAATTAAAATATACCTAGAGAAAAATTATAACCACAGTTTCTTTACGTCTGACAAATTCATCTGACTTCTAACCTGGACAGCTTCCATCTACTATTGACACATCATCGATTGCGATGTCACTTTGATAGGAGGGTCCTCTTATTCCTTCAAATGTCGCCTGTAAAGACGCAGCCCCAATTAACTTTATTATTATTATTATTATTATTATTATTTTGAATAATAGTAAATGAACAACAGAGACTCACAAGCAACTTTATATTAAACCATTTATAGTGAGGAAGTAAAGGGTTGTGGGAGTCCAGGAGAAAAGTAGAGAGAGAGGTGAGAGAGGGAAGGACGGGAGGAAGGAACTCTTTATTATGGATGGAAGCGAGAGAAATCGGGGAAATTACGCAACAATATAATGTTCAATTTTTCGCAATCGCAAAAGCCCTGGGGGTAAGAAATCAAGGTAAACGGTAAGGGAGCCAGGAATGCAAGGTTTTCGGGGGCGGGTGGTTTGGACCCCTGCACCACCTTCCCCACACGTCCCTCCCCCCTCCCCCCCCCTTTTTCCCTCCGCTAACGAAAAAATTGATAATCCACAGTCCATTCATGAATTGGTGGACGTCCGGGGAAAAAAGGGGCGGGAGGGGTACGGGAGGCGGGAGAGGAGAGAGCGGCAGGAGAAGAGAGAGAAATGGGGAAAATTACGCAACAACGGTCAATATTTTGAAATCGAAAAAAAGGGATAAAGTCAAGAAAAGAGGGGGCGGGATCCGGGATTGCAAGGTACGGGAGGCAGGAGTCTCCCCCCAGCGCGCCCCCTCTCCCCCATTACTGTATAATGTTGATGGCTCTTTAGTATCATAACTAGTTCTCAACTTGATCCGTTTACACATTTACCATGTCACTGAGGTAAACTGTCCGGGTGACTTTTTTCCAGTAGTTCCCCTGATTTCCTGACTTGGTGAAAATTTTATTATTCCCACTGAAAACATTTAGAGTTCCCATTCCTGATCCATACATGTGATAGAAGAATTTTAAGCAACCTGACGATTTATTTCTTGGCACCGTAAAGGTCAGCTTTGCATTATCACCGGTTGCCTGATTTGAAGCTTCAATATAGAAATATTTTCCTGTAACGAAAAAATATAGATGATAATATGCTAATAATAATAATAATAATAGATGAATAAATAACACGGTTTCTATCAATTCCATCCATTGTACAAAAATAGAAAGAGGTCTTAAGGGGCAGTGTTTAAAGACTATGCCCTATAAAAACGACAGCAGTATTTAAAGCCAATTTATTGAAAAGGTCACTACTTCTATCTCGTCTATAATATTCTCATCAATGTTCTCTTAGTGTGGCCCAATGAAGAGAGCACGAAGAAGCCAAACCTGAAAAAAAAAACAGAACAGAACAAAACAAAACAAAACAATATCGTGTTCATTTCATCGGCTTCCCAGTCTTCTTGTCATTAGCAGAGAGCTTAAGCAATGACGACTGACGACGGCAATGAGTACGGTACAAAAGCAATAGGCTTAGAAAACAAGAACTTTACGCGTGCGTCATGCTTTTTGTACATCGATGCACGACTACGTGACAGTGCCTAACTTCACGTTTTACTGAGAACGGAAAGACAAGCTAAGACAGCATCTTTCTTCCTTTTTTTTTTCCTGAATCAAAGGCTTTGATACATTCCTAAAGAATTCAACTCCAAAAAATTGGCAACGTTTGAAGAGAAGAAGAAGAAGAAGAAGAAGAAGAAGAAGAAGAAGAAGCATAATAAAGTTTGAGGCAGCGCAAATTCACTTTTTAAGTCAATGTGACGTTTTCGTAAACGTCGCCGTCGTTGTTGCTTTCGCTCCTTCTTCGCTTTGTGAATTGAGGGGGTTACTAAATGTACTTAAACACATTAGGAGACCGTTAACGGGTAAATTTCAAAAGGCATCAAACCTGATCCACTTGTATGATCCGAGAATGGCCCAGTACCAGATGAAGGTGTCGAACCAGAGTACAACGTCCAGTCAAATACATCCTCCATCGACTGGCTACATCCGAAGCACAATCCATTATCAAAGTTACAGGATACTAAAGGAGAATCAGGTAAATAAAGCAGGTGTCATTTTACTTGAATGATCGTTCCATTGCATACAGCTGAATGGTATAAATGGCAAGACGTTTTACACTACAGTGATACACAAAACCACGAAGATTGAGAAGAAGAGCGGAAGAGTGTGTGGCTAAAATGATAATATTCAGGTTAAGGTGCTGTTTATAGCCGTATAAGCAGGATTACTTGTGCGAGCTCTAGCTGGAAAACATTTTGGGCAAGGAGGGAAACGCCAGCGCGCGAGAAAAAGTCGTTTTCCACGAACTCGCACAAATGAACCCGCACGCTAAAAATATACATCCCAGTTATTTTTACCTTTACAGCCTCCACTGTTTATTTCTACACTATCAATAGCGATATCGCCGGTAAATGACTTTCCTGCAATCCCCTCAAATATTACCTGCGAAAAGGGTTAATTTTAGTAAGCAATATACCTGTCACTTTCCATCTACTTATTGGGGTAATAAACCAAGCTTTCACTTCCCTTTTCTTCCCATTATCTCACGACGATTACCTCGCTAGTTGGCAGTTAGTAAGTGCGAAGTATTTAGCAAAGCTTCGTTATAGTCGGGTGGTCAATCATCAAGAAGATTTTTTTTGCTATTGATTTATTTATGCAGTGATTTATGATAATGATGATGATGATGATGATAATGATGACGATGATGACGATGATGATGATGATGGTGATGGTGATAGTGATAATGATGGTGATGATGATGAAGATGGCGATGATGATTATTACTATTATTATTATTATCGTTATTATTATATGTTTTCACCATGAGGGGGAGAGAGGTTATGCATGTACAAGGTGGGTTAAAAGATTTCAAACTAAAAGTGAAGAATAGTTAGTTCAGACGATTAATTCGACTTAACTAAGAACACGCTAGAGAGAATTTTTCGTCTCTCACCAGTCCATTCAGAATTATGTTTCTCTCCACCATAATCCAGTTATCACTCTGATGTCCTGAAATATTAAAGACTTTGCCGTTTCCGCTGTATACGTTGAGAGTTCCAACTGTAGCGCCATACATATGATAATAAAATGAGAGACACGACGTTTCGCCGTTGTTTGGAACAGTAAGAACAAGCTTGGCTTTGTCGCCGGGTCTTCTTGGGGAGGACGTTTCAATGTACATATATTTTCCTTTTTAGAAAAGAGAAGGAGGGAAATATTATTACTTAAACAATCAATAAAGGACGACTGGACGGCTGGACGTGCATCCATGTAATAACCTCTTTTTATTGTTTTTTAAAATGTATAATGACTCCTACCTAGATAAGCTTTATAGCTATTTGTTTCTAGGTTATACCTTAACTACCTTATATACCAAGCAGTAACGTCGTTTTTTTTTTTTTTTTTTTTTAGTTATTTTAAGTGTAATTTTTTTTTTTTTTTTTTTAAAAATTTAAATTAAATAAAACAAAAAAATTTTTATATATATTTTTTTTAATGTTTTTTTTTTTTCTTTTTTTTTTTCTAATTTTTTTTTTTTTTTTTTTTTTTTTTTTTTTTTGGGGGGGGGGGGTGTTGTGTAAAAATAAAGCTTTAGCCTTGTCTTGTGCTATGAACCTCAAATGAGTGATTTGTTGTCGTTTTGTTGTTCATGCTTTTGATTGTTTACATGTTGTTGTTGCATCTTTTAACAGAAATGTCAACAAAAAAGTTGTCTTCGGTTCTTTTCTTTAAGAACCAGCTTTGACTAAAAACGCATGATGAAAATCCACACTACTTCATAACTAATGAGGTTTAATCATTATATGTATGTATAACACAGATTAAAATACACTTCACTAGAAAGGCTACGGGCACTTAATTAAATTTAGTTACAAATAAGTAGAGACTTTAACTGCATACGTGCAACATAGTTCGGGAACTCATAGTTAATTTAAGCAAGTATTTTAGCGGAGCTTCACCCGCGCGCGAAGCGCGCACGTGAACGGAGCCCCATAGCTAAGGAAATGTGGTAATCTACCCATCCGAGAAAATTTGGTAATCACGTGACCGTACGCCCGACCGTCCGTCTGCACCATGGGGAAACCAATGTTTACTCTCACACTTTCTAGCTAGTTTGGGATCCCAAGAGAAAACTAATTGCACATCAATTTTGTGATCAGTTGACAGCTGTCAAAACAGGATATCCGCTGACCAGTATCACCTGACCGGACCGCGGGCTCAAGCGTCGACCATGGAGGTCGAGTACGTTTTTGAAGTTATCCGCTTACAAATCACCAGTTTCGAATGATCGTAGGCTCAAGTCTATTTTTTCCAATGATTCATATGAAATATGTTGTGTTTATGTCACTATGGCCCCGCACTGTCAAGATTTTGACTTCAAACTGACCTCGGACGCGAAAATTCAACCAGCTTTTTAAAAATACAGGCGGTGAAGAACTTTTCTTACCACGTCACGAGTTGGTCACGGTGTACGTCCAATTTTTGTACTCTGATTAGTCAAAATTTGAAAGGTGAGTGCATGTGGAAAATTTATGCAGCATCTTGAAAGTTATTTACTTTGACAGCTGAAGCTGACAGAGTTTTGTGTCAACTTGTGATGTTTTTAACTGTCTTTTTCCACTGGATGTACAAAATGAAATACAGCTACTATCAAGAGTCTTGTCTTATTCATGGCTAATTTGTTTATTGGGTTTTTGGTTGAGAAATGCTTCGCTTGTCAAAATTGGGTAATCCGATTTCGAATGGCATCGTTTTCGTTTTTCACCTTGCCTAATACGTAAGAGGGTTTAAAAGTCTCAAGCAACTGTGGCCTTCCTTGATATCTTTCAGCAATTGAATCTCGAATGGTAAGCCTGAGCAATTATTGTATTTAATGTTTGTTATATCTAATTTCATGAAGTCGAGCACAGTTTATGCGGCAAGTTTTTGCACGTTTGTAAGATTTAAGTCAATGATATGACCTAGTATCAGGTTTGATATAAGCTTACAGAGCTTTAAAAGGCCTTCAGATATATTTTCTCACGGCAAATAGAAAGAAAACGTTACGAAGAATATTTAGTTATAAATTTGGCTGTAGAAAGAAAACTTTGAGCGATTTTCTTGCTTCGAGGAGTTCATCTTTGAAAAAGGCAAACACCGGGAGGCCGGCTGAAAGTAAAACAAAATAAACTTAAGCTTAAGCTTAAAGCTTAAAAACTCAGGATTTTTAGAGACACTTTAATACTTGTCTTCGTGAATGAAAATTGTTGTCTCTGTAAATGTTTCAGCGAATTATATTTCTTTTATTGATTGTTAGTAGTCTCTCTTGCAATTTTAATCGCTTGTCCGTGGCGTTTGTTTTCATCGTTCATGAACATCGCTTGCAGGAGTACTTAAAAATGTCGCGCGAATCACATCGTTATAACTGAAACCATTAAATAACGAAAAATAATGATAATAAATTCGTGATTATGTTGAAGCGTATCTCTGTTAAAGTTCATTCAAACACTCGACCATTCTGACACCTCTCAGTAGAAATGAGTATCGGCTAACCTTGTGGATGATTTTGGAAGTTTTTTGAACGATTTCGCTAAAAGTCCACTTTTGATCGTCCTGAACATTGACTAAGTGCAGTTTGTCTTGAAAAACTGTGAAATACCGTATTTTGTCCGAGGTCTGTATGATAAATAGTAATATTTCACCTCAGATGTGACGTACAAAAAGTATAAAAGGTTGGCTTACACACCCTCAGATTTGTTGGCAAGAATTTGTAAAGTGAACCTGTCGAAAGCAAAAAAATTCGGCCTAATTTGTTTTCCAAGAATTTGTTTTCGAGGCCTAATCTACTGTGATCAAGAGTCCATTATGGCTCTTGAATGTGATCGAAGATGTTTGCTATTTTTTGGGTGTACATATATTTAGGCTATCAACTCGATGTAAGATGTTTCACTCTAAAATAACTTATCCTTTCCCTCAAAAGTCACATGAATGTGCCCTTAATTTAACTGATTTGTGGATTACAAGTTTATTGTTTGATTTAAAATATAAATTTATTGATGGGAGCTTCGCTTTTAGCCCTGGCTAAATCTACATGTTATTTCTTCTGCAGTGAGGAGGAAATGGAGACTGAAATAAAACATAATAACTAAACCTGACCTGATCCCCCTTGACCAGAAGACGGGCCTGTAGATCCTGATTGTGTTGAACCAGACGAAAGTGTCCAATCAAAGTCATCTGAAGAAGATTGGTTCCATCCGGAGCATAATCCATTGTCAAATGAGCACCATACTAAACACGTCAAAGAAAATGATAAACAAACAAACATTTTCATTTTTCCTCCAAACATCAACTTCCTGGTTAAGACTAATGAACCCATTTATTTTTCATTTATTCAAATGAATATATATCCAGTGGCATCGAATTTAGCAGAGCTCCTTTAAATGAAGCTCTGACAAAACCAAAACTTAACAATTAATGAATGAGGCTGAGTATCTTATGAAGAGTTATTGGGATCTCCATAATTCTTCATATGATACGGAAGCCGAATTCAATAATTGTTTTATTATTCATTCAAAATAATTCCTAGTTTAAAAACATAGCTAAAACATGCTTACCTCCATCGATCCATCGATGTTAAGTTCATCTTCGATAGTGTACGTTTAGGTTTGTCCAGCTCCGCAAATATTCTCCAAATCGCAGATGTCGTCCTCTGAGTTGTCTTCTTGCTGTTTTTGATATGTTTTTTAGCCATTACTTCGCCTAGTTACAGCTGTAGTTCTTACTCTTGTAACGAGTAAGGTGTCAGCCATTTTGTTTTCACTACCAAAACAACTCAACCTCGTCCCCAGGTCTTCTCGGTTAACGGTTCATTTACCAGTAGAAGGCTGCATTTTTGACGTCATTTCCTCGGTAAACGCAAAAATCTTCCAAATTTGGTCATCACTAACTGGTTATGGTGAATTACGCGTGTGCTTTAAGCCAATCAGAAGCGGAGAATTTTTTTTGAATGAATAATAAAACGACATTAAAACATTAAAGA